AAAGATTCTTTACCAATTTATTATGAATATATATATTTTTATATATATTTTTATATATATATATATATATATATATATATATATATATATATATATATATATATATATATGTATGTATATACAGTGCTCGAATTGAGGCGGGATGCCATCCTGTCACCTTTTTATAAAGTATAAACTATCCTGCCAATCTTTTGTTTATCTCTAACAATAATTAGGCGGGATGGTATTTTTAATTTATCAAATACCATTCCGTTACTTTTTTTTCTCCACTTTGAGCACTGTATATATAGATATATACCTATAGATATATGTATACCTAATATAGATATACATATATGTATACCTATATATATAGATATATAAACTGATATATACCTATAGATATATGTATAGATATATTTATACCTAATATATATATATATATATATATATATATATATATATATATATATATATATATATATATATATATATATATATATATATATATATATATATACCTGATATATATTTATTAATTCTTCATTTTAATATATATTTAAATATAATATTCATTACGAACTTTTGGCATTACTTTTTACAATTATTAAAACATATATGCATTGATTTTGAGAAAATTGTCTTACTTCTAGAATGTTTATATTTATTCCTTTCAGCCTCTTTAAGATTTTGCTCTTCTGTATTATTTTTTTGTTGAGATTCAGTTTTACTATGACATGGCGATTTACAAGCTCTGAATAATCTCTCTCTAGTTGGAGTTAAAATAAGTTCTGCAGGATTCATTTCTTCTAATATCTAAAAACCATAAAATTACTCTCCTAAAATATAAATTAAACATGTTTAAACATAGTGATATGCAATAAAAATTGTTAGAACATTATGTTTTTTTCACTCGAGATCAAGTAAGACATTTTTACCCTGGTGTGAGGCAACCCAGCTATTATCTATTTTAGCAAAATGCAAAATATGAAGTTTACTTTTATATAAAGATTTATAATATACGTTTTATTTTAATTTAAAACTACATTGATTTTAAGTTTGAAGAAAAAATTATTCATTATTATATTTAAGAAAAAATTATATGCATGAAGATAAAAGTATAATAGCTTTTTAACTTTATAACAAATTCTTCTTGCAATTTATAACAAAGACTTTATAACAAATTCTTCTTGCAATAGTAACAAAAAATAGAGATATAAAAAATAATATTACAAGAACACATTTGGTACCTGAGTATTTAAAATAATAGTTTTAGTGATAAAAAGAAAAACTATTTTATGATAGCTTAATGCTATAAAACTAACAAAAATATCAAACAGATTAATTAAAATCTTTTTTAGTAGTGTAATTTAATCTTTTACAGTAATCTAAAAATCAAAATGATATTTAAATAATTTCTCACATTATTTATGTTTTATTTACTAAATAAGACCTATATAGATTTTTTGTAGATTTTTTAAACTTATTTAAAGTTAAGGGCATAAAAAATTGATTGAAGTTTATTTAGCTATTAATTTATAGAAGTTTACTTGAAGAAATTTTGTTTAATCGAAGTTAAGTAAAATGCAAGTTAGTAACTTACATTTTACTTAACTTCACTAAAAAAAGATTACATTGTAAGCAAAATATTAACATTAAACTGGTTTACAAACTTTAATATAAAAAAACACGAACTTAATTATTATAAGTTATTAAGTTATTATAAGTTATAAGTTATAAATTATTATAAGTTTTAATAACTACAACAATTCAAGTTGTTACATGCCATATGTCTATGTAGTAAATAAAAAGTTAAAAATTTAAATTGATTATTATTATTTAAACAAAAGACCCATGTTGAAAAATTATTTATTTTTTTTTCAAATTTTTCCGACAAAAAATATTGTCCAATCAAATATAAGTTTTTTAATAATAATATTTCATCGGTTGTCGTTCCCGATAAAATATCATTATATGAGGCTTGTCCCGCGTTATTCATTGACGAGAGCAGTAAATCTCTATAATATTACCCTGAATCTGAAATTACGCCAAACCTTGACCATTACCAAATTTTAGTAATATTGCAATTTTAAATGATCATGATGAAGACTTGCATTATCATCATAATAATTTAGTCATATAAGTACATCACTGTTACTCCAGAAATGGTTTTAAAACTAATCAAGTAGTACCCAGTGGGCACGGACTTAAAAAAACGTCTTTAAAACGTCTTTTACACGTTTTAGACGGCTTTTGAACGTTTTGGACGTCTTTAGAACGTTCAAAAGACGTTCTTTTTTGGTCCGGTGCCCACTGGGTAGCTTTTATGAAACTGTTTAGAAAAACTTTCCATTTTTAACTTGAATTGAGCTAGATGTTTTTAAATAATACTTTTGCAAATTTTCTAAAATTTTTTAAGATTAATTAATGAAATAGTCAACGTTTAATTTACAAATAATCTGAAATTAAAATGTTTTTAGCAATAAATAACATAATGAAACTAAGCTAGTCCAGAAAAGACGTCTTTTAAACGTTCATAAAATCCTTTGTTTATAACAAATGTCGCTGGAAAATTTTAAGATTTGAGATTTTTATTAGAAACAAACATTTAACTTGGCCACTATTTATACGGTAATTTACCCCAGAATATCTGATATTGCGTTTATCTTGTAAGTAATTTAACAAAAAAAAATGTTTATGAATAAAGTGGAACAATAGAAGAGCAGGGGCGAATACGGATTTTTTAATATTTGAGTTTAGTAACTTCATTGTAAATTTGAACCACCTAGTTTTTGTATTTTTATACTTAATTCATAAAAGGATGCTTTGCTAGATATTGTGCTGTTTGGAGTTTGAGGACAAAACAAAAAAATACCTTTTATAATAACATATATTTGTCTTTTTAATTTTTATCTAAATTTTTATATTTTATCTTTCTTATTATAAAAAGATGTCTTCTTGTATTTACTTTGTATATATATTTATATATTGTGCTTTTTTAGGTACTGACGATAAGATCTAACTTTTTTTTTTTATTATATATAACATTAGGAGTCTTTTTTAGATTTATATTTTCAATTTATAACACTATTTATTCTAATTTTTTGTTCTTGTTTATGTCTTGATGAAAAGTTTTAAACTTGCAAAAAGGTTCTGAGATCAATTTGATTTTCAGAGTACTTGTTTGTTTGTTTGTTGAATTTGTTGGTTTGTTTGTTGGTTTGTTGGTTTGTTGGTTTGTTGGTTTGTTGGTTTGTTGGTTTGTTGGTTTGTTTGCTTGTTTGTTTGTTGGTTGGTTTTTACAAATGACGACAAATGTAAACTTTTTTGTATCGTTAAAAAGTGCAATGCTTAAAAAAGTATATAAAAGATAATGTAAGATAATATTAGGAAATATAAGATTAAAAGACTTGAATATAAAACAAAGGGTATAATATAAAAGACAAAATATAAAAAAGCAAAACATAAAACAAAAAGGTTCAATTATTTATTTTAAGATCCTTATGGGATCCAAAGATCTTAAGAGATCCTATAGAGTTTTTTTTATGAGATCCTAAGATCTTAAGGGATCCTATAGAGTTTTATTTTAGGTAAAAAAAGAAAAGATTAAATTTAAACAAGTAAGTTAAAAATTATTAATTTTTTTTTGGTCATTCCTGCACAAAGGAAAGTACTAAGTTTATCTTAATAATTTTTGTCATTTATTTTTTTGCTCACTCATTCTTTTTAGTTATTTATTTACTAGTAATATAAATATTTATTTTGTAATATAAATTTATAGGATTGAGCTCTTGTAATCCGAACTCTTGTAAATCGGAGAAAAATTTAAATTGAACAAGTTCTTTGGTCCCGGGTTTAATATTAAGTATTGAACTCCTATAATTTGAAAATTCTTCAAAGTCAAACATATTTTGAGACCCCTTAAGGATTTAAATTAGATGAGTTTAACTCTATTTACAAACAAAGTTGTACTTTGTAGTTTTAATATTTACCGCAATTGCTGTACATAATTGCCGTCATCCGGTAATGTAGCCTTATTTTAGAACGATTATAATGTCTATAGTAACTTAATTAATGATGCAATTTAATTGAATTGGTGAGAAGAACAACAGTACTAGTCTATTTTTTTGTTATTTACGCTTTTTTCATAATTTCATTTAACTTAAGTCGATCTCTCTACGTACTACAAAAATAATATTAGTCCATCTTTCTTTCATTATTTTTTGCTATAAAGTAGACTTAAATAATAACTGTTTAAAATTTAAACATTGATTATCTCGAAATGAAAATATTGGACTAGTTCTTTTTTTCACCGATTCAATTGTTGTTTCAGATTTTTTTGATTTGAAAGCATATTGCTTAAAAAGTTTTTTGATAAAAAACTTTAAGAAAAACACTGATTTAGAAATCTGCATTATATATTTGTTAATCATACTATTATTATATTTTAATAGTATATGTATTATAGAAGAATTATGCTAAAAAAAAAAAAACTCAAAAGAACTACTAATAATAGTTAAAAAGAATTTAATTTTTAACTTAGTTTAACAAAAAATCTGTTTCTAACATTTCATGATCAGCCATGGGTTCAACTTTGAATTGAAAATCTATAAAGACACAAATAAAGAATAAATTATTATATTTAAAAAAAAATTGAATTAATAACAAATAAATTAAATGTTATATTGTTTATATTACTTATTATATATATATATATATATATATATATATATATATATATATATATATATATATATATATATATATATATATATATACATATATATATACATATACATATATACATATATATATATATATATATATATATATATATATATATATATATATATATATATATATATATATATATATATATACATATATATATACATATACATATATATATATATATATATATATATATATATATATATATATATATATATATATATGTATATATATATATATATATATATATATATATATCTATATATATCTATGATATAATATATAATTTATTTAGTATATATGCACGCACACACATAAACATATATACAACCTGAATTTTTATTTTGGAAAGCATACGAGTCGTATAAAATACTTTGAGCTTGCTTTACTAATCCGCTAAAAACAGTTCGGTTGCCAGTTTGTAAAACCAGTCCTCTGCAACTACCCATAACAATTTGGGTATTTGCCAGCAAAATGTTCTCAGTTTTCAAAAAATTAATGCTCGTTGATTGATGCGATTTAATCTCTAGAGAATGTTTCGTTGCTATAAGGTTATTTACAACTAAACGACAATCACAAGAGATAACACGAATATCTGCAGGCACAAAATCTCCTCTTTGAAGCAATATTAAATCCCCTCGTACTAAACACCAACCACTGATATAACATATTTTTTTATTACGAATAACTTTGTATATGTTTTTGATTTTCGAGTTAACTAAAGTATCCCACTGGTTCTGCGTCCATTTTGGTTCAGTTACAACTCTTTTTACAAATTTACTCCAGGAATATTCTAACGCGCTTATAGCAACTTTTGATGGTAAGGTGACTTTGTTTTTACCGCCTAAATTAAGTAGTCTATTTGCAAACTTTTCATCCAATCCGTATTCAATATGCGTATTTAAAAGCTTAATTAAATCAGAAAGATCGGACAAATGCTCCTGACTCTTATCGTCAAGTTCTTGATTAGAGCACCTTTCAAAATACATCTTTTAACCTTCTATGTATTGGTTGTCAAAAACTGATGTGCCTTATATATTCATTAAAAAAACCCAGTAAGGAAGTAATTGCAGTTCAAATATTTCTCGACAACACGTGAAACTTAGTTAAAAAAATAAGTGTTCAGACTAATTACTTACTTTTATGACATAGGAAATAGATATAAAATTAACTACCATTAAATTCAGCTTATTATATGAAGCACTTTTTATTCTTTTTATATTTTTGTTTTACTTTATTTTAGTAATTCAAATTAGTTTAATAAAATAAATTAAGACAAATAAATTAAGACAATATTTTTACTAAATACTTTTATGATAACTTTTGCTGGTATATTATTTTATCATTGTATAATGTTATAAACTCATCTTTTCAGTAACTAAATTAGGGCCGCCAACAGTATTTTTGTGTTTGAAATTTGTTTGCTATCGCTTATGCCGGTTATTTGGCGTGTGTAATTCTCGTTTTAGTTTATCATAATTTCTAATGGACAGAAAAAAAAAATTAAAACCAGTAATAATCCAATTGCGTTTTATCATAATGCTTTGATTATCTGCTGAAAATTTAATAGTTTTTTTTTTGGTACAACTAATAAACATTTTTCAAGAAAAAAAGTTCTTGGTTTAATCTGTAAAACCATATATGCTGCTACAATGGAACGATACCTCGACTGAAGGGCAATAGTAAGAAGTTGTGCTATTTGAGTTAACTTTTTTTTTTTAATTTCAATTTTTGTTTTAAAAAAACTTTCACGTATATATATATTTTTATAGTTATTAGGGTGCCCTTGAAAGATCTACAGTCTTTTTACAAACCAACGTAGAAGAACATCTTAACAGTAGGTTTACGCCTCCTTTTTTCTGATGTCACTTATTTGGCCATAGCCAGAATCAAGCCTCAGATCGCTAAGATCTCTAATCACTGTGCTACGGCTGCTTATTATTTTTAAAACTTGAACACGTTTAAACTCGTATCAAATATAAATGCTATGCATAAAATTGCGGTATTTGGACCATTATAAAAAATTTACAACTTTTTTTAGCGTTTCTGATAATTCACAATGTCATAGATCTTCTGGTAAATAAAAATGGCATGTGTGTTATTGTATCTATCTTTTCTAGTTGTTTTAGAAAAATAAAAAGCACAAGCAAAAACAAAAACAAAAAAGTTTTTAAGTATAAATAAAAACGCGGCGCATTAATTTAATATCATCCGTTCCATCAAAATAATACTCATAGACTAACATTAACTGCATATTAACAGACTAGCATTAATTGCGTGTATTAAAGTTTAATGCAATAATATTAGTCTAGTTGCACATTCTAAAATCTAGAGCAATGTCTGTCGCTTTCTTCATGCTATCTTTCTAACTCGACTACTTTTACTCTTATTTACTTTTGTTCTTTTTTAAACTCACTTACTCTTGACCGTTGAAGCGGGTTATGAATCTCTTTATTGAGCTGAAATCGTCTTTGCAGACCTTGGTATGTGGCCTCTATATAGCAATCAGCTGAGGAGGAAGGGGGGGGGATTAACCACAATACCTCAAAGTGATACTAGTTATAGTCTGCGACAGAGAAAGTAAATATGGTAAAAAATATGTAACAATATAATATAAATATAAACAAATCTTAGTAAAAATCTTTAACACACACACACACACATATATATATATATATATATATATATATATATATATATATATATATATATATATATATATATATATATATATATATAATCTTTAACACACACACACACACACACACGTGTTTGAATAACCTTGATACTAAAGATGCGATTAATAAACAACTTAAAGGATAATCCATATTATCCTTTAAATAAGGATCGACAAACGCAATAAATGCCGTAGATGTTGGCGTTAAGCATGTATATGTAGTGCTAATGCTAAAAAAGTATTTTTTAGCATAAATTCTACATATAGCAGCACATGTTTGTGCTGCTATATGTAGTGTTTATGCTATGTAAAATATTTTTTACATTTAAACAGAGTTTAGAAATAAGCATCGAAGTCATAAAAATTAGTCATCATTTCGTTTACAATTTTTTTTGGAAAAACATTTTTCTAATATGGTTTTAGGTGATATATTCATACTTTACTATAATAGGTGGTTTAAAAATTATTAATCTTTGCAATTGCAACACCCTTAATTAATTAAATGCCAATTGTAACAAATTCCATTTAAGAGACAATTACTTTATTCAATGCAAATTTATAGTTGTTTATAACATTTTAATTATATTAGTACGTTTTCAATGAACTTCTTAATTATCTAAAGTATGTCAAACTTACCGTATCATTGTGCCAAAAATACCATACTAGGTAGCTTATTTCGTCATTTTTGAGTATTTTGTAAAAGAAATTTTACATAAAAATTTAAAAGTTTGAAACAATAGATGTATCTATAGTTTCAAACTTTTAAATCATTGATTATTAAGATATGCTATCATCATGCATATTAATTCCCAGCAGATATATAAATATATATGCTGGGAATCGATATGCATGATTTTTAAACGTTTTTTAAGAAACCATTGTCAATAAACAACAACATGCCGAAATTACCCTACTATACCATATATATATATATATATATATATATATATATATATATATATATATATATATATATATATATATATATATATATATATATATATATATATATATATATATATATATATATATATATATATATATATATATATATATACATTTTTACAGTAATCTTTATCTTTTTTTAGCGTGCAGAAGAAAAGTTATTCGTTTTTAAAGGTTTTTGATATGAAAAAGTAAAATTTCGCCTACTCAGAAATTTTCTTTTACCAAACGAACATTATTTTATTGTGTTTTGAATGTAGATTTATAAAGTACTTTATTCATTTGAGTAACTTAATCCGTAAAAAATTATCATGAAATTCTCACGCTTTTAGGTAAATGTACAGGTGTCCAGCAACTTACTCAGGAGGGGTTGCTTGTCACAAAATATATGGGGATGGTTGTCACACTTGCCTCGACTCCATGCGCTGCAAATTAAACGCCGCTTGCAGATTTTTTATTGGCTTTGTTTATTTTCCGCATTATTGAGGAATATTTTAATGTTTAAGATATTATTTAAAAATCTAAAGTCAAAGTCTTATATTTGTTTAACTAAATATCTGTAATCTAAATTTTTTTTATTTCAATGTGCATAACTTTAGATTCCGATCCAATGTTTAGTATAATTATAGAAAAAGGATTGCAGAAGTTCAACTGTTTATTGTTTTGTTTACAAACTAAACAACTATCTGTTGTTTAGTTTGTAAAGCTGTCTGTTGTTTTGTTTGTGCATTGTTTATATTTAGTGCATCTATTGTTTTGAATCTTTTTCCAACAGCCGATCAAGAGAACAGTGGATTCAATGTCAGGTTTGCCAAAAACGGTCTCATGAAGAATGCACACCAGGCTTACAACAGTTTATTTGTGAATTGTGTTCTTTATCCAATAATTTTTAAAAAACCAAACCTAAAAACATTTATAGTGATAAACTAAATTTGTTAATTGTGTTATATTTAAAATATATATATTTCAGTTTATAGTATTTTATTTTTCTTTTTCTTAGTAAAACATAAACGAAATTAATTTGTACTCGTTTTACATTAAATTCTTATCTAAACTTGTCAAAATCTAAATGTGACAATCAACCCCGCACCATGTGACAACCTACCCCGTGAGCGGGGCTAGTTGTCACACAGAAGTGGTCTTTGAAAAATGATTTTACAGCAATAAATATTTCACTTAATGTCATAAAAATATTATAATAGTTACTGGAAATAGTTAAACTAGCTTTGTGCAAAGTTTGGCATTGATTGGATGAAAATTAAAAGCTGAGCAGCCTAAAATGTAAAAAGTGTGACAACCAACCCCGCTCTCCCCTATATATATATATATATATATATATATATATATATATATATATATATATATATATATATATATATATATATATATATATATATATATATATATATATATATATATATATATATCCTTATATCGTATTGGAAAGAAATTTTTATGGTATTAAAAATCTAATTCAACAACATTTAAGCGACTTCAACAAATTAGCATTTTAATATTGTCTAAAAGTTAAAACAATTTAAATAATGCGGTACATTAAGTTTTATTGTTTTTTAAAAAACTGCAACAATAATGATAAGAAAGTTTTTTTAAATAATGTTTTTATTTTTGTTTTTTTTATTGTTTTATAATATTTTTAAAACATGTGCTATCTCAACTATCTTACAGCCTGCCGCTACAAGGAAGTGCCACAACATCAACTGAGGGTTTTGTTTGTAAAAGCAATCTATGTATATATAAAACATATATATATTCTTTTGCATCAAACTATTTTATTAAACGAATAAATGAATTTAGTGTAGATTAAATATCTTTTTAAAGTTGGAAATTTTGAGCGCAAATTTTGTCATGTTTGTCTATAAATAGCCTTAGTTTAAATAACTTATCATCACTATTATTTGGCATAGTCTTATTATCATTTTTACGGAGGTTGGATAATATCTGCAAGAAAATACGGATATTGGATAATATCTGCAAGAATTTGTCACAACGCAAAATTTTTTTTTTTTTTTACAAAAGTAAAAAAAAAATAAAACTATTAACTCTAATTCTCTATTCCAATAGTTTCTCAACGAAGGAAATTTGTTCCAATAAATTCAAAATCATTCCTCTTTTTTTAATGCAACTTTTTTGTGCCCTTTTTTTGACTTTGTAAAGCAAAAAAATTATAACTTGGAATAGAAACGACTATTTCTAAGCCAAAAAACTTGAATTATCATCTGGTTTGTGACGTTCAGCAAAGTGGTCTTTCGCTGGTACTATGAATAAATATATTGACGTATATTTTATTATCAATTTTACAATATAATACTTATTGTAAAATTAAGTGTAATAATGCAATAGTTTTAT